CCTGCCGCAGGAACTCACCCGGGGCGGCGCCTCGGGGCGGCACCTGGACACGGGCCAGGCCCCGAGCTGGGCACAAGCCCCCACAGTGCAGGCACGGGGGACTGAATGAGATTAGGTCCCTTACAACCCAAGTCAGTCTGTGATGTTACAGCCAAAAAGGGTCCTGTGCAACAGGTGCAGGGGCACTCACACGAGTAGTGACAGAGTCCTGCACACAGTGCTTGCCCAAGCAGAGCCGACGAGGAGCATCTCCTGATGAGGAACAAGCCCTGCTCAGGCTGCACCGTGCCGATGCCCAAACTTCTGCCTGATGCCTAAGGCCAGGGAGCCCTTTACTCCCTTCCTGTGCCACAGGAATTGCTTCACCTCAGTTCCTTTCAAAGGTGGGTTTAGCAATCCCTTCCCCTTTCCCTGCTGTAACCCCAGCACGGCTCTGCCAAATTTTACCTTTGCCCAGTGCCATGGGCTGAAGTGTGGGGCTGAGACATGGGGCACAACCAGGCACCACTACCTCCTGCCAGCTCATAGAATCCCAGGCTGGTTTGGGGGGGACCATAAAGCTCATCCAATTCCACCTCCTGCCATGGGCAGGGACATCTTCCACTAGCCCAGGTTGCTCCAAAGCCCCATCCAACCTGGCCTGGAACACTCCCAGGATGGGGCAGCCACAGCTCCTCTGGGCATCCTGTGCCAGTGCCTCAGTACTTTCACAGGGAAGAATTTCATCCCAATATCTAAACTAAACCTACTCTCTTCCATGGCAGAGCTGGAGTAAGACGAGGGGGCTTTAAGTCCGTAGAACCCCAAGGAGCACAGTGCCACGGCGGTTGTGGGGTACCCCAAAGGGGGCTCTGTTCTGCACCCCTGACTGCCTCGGGGAACAGGACGGAGAGGACCCTTTGCCCTCTCCCTCCCTCTTCCAGCACCTTTCCCTGCTGTGCACGTCGGGGCAGAGGGAACAGGCAGGAGCGACGCTGGAGGAAAACAACTCGCGAGCCAGCGCGGAGGAGAGCCCTGTGCTGCACAAAAGGTGCCTTGTTCCCCCCTCGAGGCGGTCGGGCAGCGCGTCCCCTCCCTCACCGGCGATGGAAAACCGAGCTCTCCATCGCCGCCCCTCGCCGCCTTCAACCTCCCCCTTGGGTACAAAATGTTCTCGAGTGAAAGAAACCTGAGGTTTAACACGTCCCTCTTGGGCTCTCAGTGCCCTTGCAGGGGAGTGGGCGAAGCTCCGGCAGCC